CTTTTGTATAAAAAGGGAGGAAAGTAGATAGTAGATAGATAGTAGATCGTAGTGAGAAAGAGGGAAGGACAGAGGCGAATAGTTATAATAAGCCGGGGATGATGTGCAGGTGGCGAGGGGAACCAGAAACAAGCGCAACTCCGAACTGCTTCTAATTTCGAACCCAACAGAGAGTAAGAGAGAGAGAGAGAGAGAGGAGTGAGAGAGTAAGAAGAAGTGGAGCTGCGGGTGAAACGAACCAGCATTGGCCCAACTGCGATGATCCCTTGAACTAAAAAAGGATCGGTGTGTGTTGGTGTGTCTCTTGTTCTCCATATGATTATCCTTTTTGACCAAAAAAAGTTATGAAGAGGTTAACTAGGTTTGTCGTGGATATGCATGGTTACACGAGGAAGATTAGAAAAGAAAAGCTGTCTGTGCTGGCTGATGATCAAAAAGAACTTCTACGATGGAATCAATTGACAACTCATGCATACATCCATTCCCTTACATCCCAAACTACTGTACTGTTAGTTCCTAGGGTCCATGCAAGTCGATCCCAATCTCATGCAGCCCGGATAAGAATAGAAACCCTCCCAGGCTCCCACAGTACAACAGCAAACAAACCAGGAACCAACAGTTAATCTAGTTCAGGAGTAACCTGAACCTTCCCTCGGCGATATTCCACACAAAACAAATTAAACCTCAAATTTCTCCGACAAGTGGGACAAAAAACAACCATGCCGGTTTTTTCTCTCCAGTTCAAACCGCTGGTCAGGGCTGAAAATCCGGGCATTGAAATCTAACGGCGGTTTGAGGTTCCTGGTATGGTTCCATTATGTTGCGCCCGCGTGTCGCAGATGGGGGTTCCTAGTGCACACTAACCAAGAACTAAAAATCTAAACTATACATAGAGCAGGGGTAGACTAGTACGCAGTATCTAAGTTTTGCGGGTTGATTCTTATCCCCCGTCTCTGCTGGCTGCATGATGGTTCCTGTGGCTTGAATCCTTCCTGGCCTCGGCTGCTGCTTGTCCCTCCCCCCACCCACCCCGTTTCTTTTTCTCCGAATGTTCCGGGCAGAAACAGTGCATGTTTGTGGTGATTTAATTACTACATAGTGGCACGAGGATCAGTCTGACAAGTAATCACGGACAAGTGTTTCTCCTGACAGGTAGCTCAATTGATGCCTGTCAGCTTGTGTCTTGTGAAATTAAATACATCGCTTAGGTTGTTGGCATAGGGGCCAAGAATCTACACTAGATACAGTAATAGTATACACGAAGGGAGGATACACACCACCCCCTTTCCAGCTGCCCATTTCTATCCCTCAGCTCAATTGTTACTCTTCGCATCGAGCTGGTCCTCAGGAATAAGCCCCCCTGGCTCATAGTCCAACCAGCCTTCCTCTTCTTGCCCCTGTGCGATGGCTGCTAGTCGTCTCTTTCGCTTGCGTCTCTCCTTGGCTGCGGCCCGTCGGAGTTTATGCAACGCCTGCCGTTCCACCTCTGCCTGGGTCGGTGTCTGTCCCGAGCGATGAAACGACTCCTCCTTCCCGTCCGCCTCCTCTTCCTGCTGCTCCGTCGAATCCGGCGGCTCGTGAGTATTACTGATCTCGTCCACCAGACATCCCACCGATCCATCCTGGATCTGCGGATGATGCCTGAGGCGCGACGCGAATGGGTCTTCTGATGGAGAACAGAGCTCCCGGATGGCAGCTCGTGTCTCCTCGCCGGGGCGGATCCCCCGTCCCAGCAGATCTTGCAGGTACATGTACCCGGACTCGAAATTGCCTGCTTCCAGACACATGACGATGAGATGCTCGAATGTTCCTTGGTCCGGGATCACGCCGAGAGATGCCATCTCTTTCGCGATGAACATGCCCGCCTCGGTATTGCGCGCCCGTCGACACATTCCCAGGAGAATGTTGTAGACAGTAACGTCGGCCTTGTCTGGACAGAGCGCATATAGTCCTTTGTAGAACGCAATTCCCTCGTACACCACCGACGGGTTATCGAGGGCTTCGTGTTCGCACATCTCCAACACCACTTTGGCGCAACCAAGCGGGACTGTCAGTTTGGTGGCCTTCAATTGCTTGAGCATCGTCCATGCGCCACGGGGGACCGTTCTACTCTGCAGCAGATGCGTAAGAATAGCACGCGTGGAGCGGGTTTCTACCGCAATGTCCGCCATGTGCATCTTACACAGCACCTCAAATGCAGAATACAAAGACCCCGACACAGCATGGGCCTCCACTATTTTCTCGTAGTCATCCAACCGAGGCTGCACATTGACCTCGACGAGGAAGCGGATCACCGATGCCGCCAGCTCGGTATCTCCAGCGCGCGCCGCCACACTGAGAACATTGCTGCACAGCGGATAACCAGGATGAAGATATCTCAGCTCCACCATCTGTCTCCAGATGTACCGAGTAGTATCGTAGTGTAGAGCAGCGCTCGCCACCTCCAGCACGTACAACCACAACTCCGAGCTCATGTCCATGCCCTGGCTCGTCCGTGAACGCATCAACCGGACCACCTCGTCAAACTCTCCAAAATCGCAAAGGTAATATATAAGTAGGCTATGCAGCCAACTCTCAACGACTATACCCTTCCTCTCCATCTGCTCGACATGATCCAACGCCAGCTCGAACTGGTGCTCCCGAATCAACCCAGCGACCACAAAGTGCCATCCGGCGGGGCTCAACGGAAGCCATCGGTCTCGAAGCGTGCGCACAATCTCCTGACGAAGGAGGTAATCCGGATGAACCGCAAGGACCTGAGAGTAAAAGCGAGCACGTCAGCAAGTGCCTCATTCTCAGACTCGAAGATCATACCTGTAGCGCTGCATGAAGTGTCCCCGAATCAGCCGGTATCCCATTCTCCTCCATCTCCTTTAGCAATGCGCGAACAGCCTGTGGCGACCCACGTTCGGGATCCGAATTGGCGAGAATCAACCCCCGGTAATGTCGCATTTCCGGGCGGACATGGCGGTCCCGGATTAGAACACGCAGGATTTGCGTTGCGCTTAGAACTCTCGGATATCGAGCTACTCGCTCCTGTAGTCTATTCTCTAAACGTTGCGAAGGTAGGTGTTTGAAATACTTGGGTACGCCGGGTGGCGGCTTGGTCAATCGCTCCATTGGCGATAAAAGGTCCCCTGGGCGTACATTGTCTTGCGCGCCTGCATCGTCAGGATCGAAGGGTTGTTGATCGGAGGGTGATGAAGAATTCGTAGTATTGTGGCTGTTGTCTTCGACAATTTCAATGGTTGCGTCCGTCGGTCGTGGGGTAAGGTTTGTGAGGCATCTTCGTGGAGAATCCGAGATTGAGCTTCGTAGAGCGGTTATGCGATTATGTTTAGGGATGCGTCTTCCTGTTGTAAAGGAAGGTGTGGCTCGATTTAAGGTTGCAGCGTTAAACGACGGACAAAGGCAATACCACAGTCCATCGAGTACCAGGGTCGTTCGCGGCATCTCGAGCCCTTGCAATGACGGAAGATTCTCTACAACTTGGTCGGTCTCCGAAAGAAGCTCTATATCTGCACGTGACCGTGACGCTATGCATGCAAAGTTACAGAGACGAAGCCCACGGACAAGGCTCAACGAATTTTGACTTTTCGAATAATCCGTACACTACAATTATATTGGAAGAAAGAAGGGCGCCTAGGTGGCATGTTTTCCCATTGACAAATACAACCAGATACGCCAAGGCCATGCTCGACTAACCCGTCAAAACGGACAATTCCTAGCGAACTCAATCCCTACTAAACCTTGCCCCCCGGGGTATCGCTCATAATCTCTCTCATTCTTTCGTAGATAGAAAACCAATAACACTTCAAGCGTCTCTGCCACCACGGCCGCGGCCACGTCCACGACCCCGGCCTCCACCACGACCTCGGTCACCCCGACCACCCTCACGCGGCCCGCGGTTGCGATTTTGCGATTGGTTCGCCTGTTGCTCCTTCACCATCTCTATGATTTCTTCGGGGATTCGCAGGTATTTGATCTATAAGCGATTAGGGGAAGGAACAGAGGGGCGACATTGGATACGGTTCAGGGTGGACGCAGAAATGCAACTCACATTGTTTCCTCTGACGTAGACTTCCGGTAGCCGGAAGAAGCGATCACCTTCGGGGCTCGTCTGAACAACTTCCTTAAGTATCAGGTTCATCCAGTTGTCGCAATTGGCAAGGTGTCCGTTAAGGGTTTCGCCGTTCTTGAGTTCCACGAGCATGGGGTGGCCTTGCGCGGCCGTCAGGAGACCGAGAGGTAACTGTTCATCGGAGAATCAGTAACCGTAGCAGATTTAATGGATCATCTTGGGCTGAGGTGTAATTACCATCTTGCGATCTAGTGATCAATATGGTCGGATCGACGTTGTGGGCGGATCGAAACACAGATGGAATCAACTCCGTGAGAGGTGATAAGCGAAGGATAAAAGTACTCTTATAGAGTCGCCGTAATCTCGCAACGGAAAGAGGAAGTTCAAAGAGAAATAGAAGCCTTCTTGACGACGTCAGAGTCAATATGAATCCAAGAAAGCTCCCCGCGAGCTTCCCAGCAGCGGTGCTCGCAACGACGGAGAGTGCCGGATAAACATGACGCCGAGATCCGCCTGGCGCTGCTGCTTATCTGGATTGGCACCAGTAAGAGCAAAGTAACGTGCCCTACTTTAGAGTTGTGACTGTGGTTAGTGTCTGGCTATAATACTCACTAATTAATGAGACAGGGTTCTTTAGTAAACTCCGTCTGTCTCCGGTCTTGGGAGAGGAGGCCCGAGGGCCAAGGATGTCCATTCATTTAACTCTGTCCTAAAGCCCGTATGACTCTCACTCTCTGTCCTAGGTAGTTTGCTCATGAATACAACATCGTTTGTATCTATTTACCGGTCTGTTACTATATGACCACTGTCTTACTCTCTACAACCCACCCCAACTGCACCAACTACATGAATCTATAATACCCTCCATCCCATGTCTCCCTTCTCACGTCCATGTAGCACCTCCCACACAACCACCACCATGCAATGGCTACTAACAAAGTTAACACTAATATGTCTCACCACTACCAAGTTCACCCGCCTGGCAGCCGGTGCACCCATTCCTCTACCATCACCATCACCCACTACAATCTCAACAGCAGCCAGTTAGTCCCCCACTCACTACTATCCATATCCCACATTCTAAACAACCCTTATAGACACCCACATCATGAAGAACACCAACAACGACAACCCCAATCACAATGACCACATCCACTCCCTCCTCAAATTTCAGTGGCTCGCCTCCCTCCTGAAAAAGCTCTCGGCTCTCACTCTCCGCGACTACTTCATCAACCTCAGCGTCCTCATCTGCATTATTGCGCTCTTCGCCCTGGCATACCGAATCGGCAGCAACACAATGCGCTGCCAGCGATGCCGAGTGGACCGGGCCGCTCAGCGCGAGGAACGGAAAGCTCGGAGGGCGTATAAAGCCGCTGCGAGGAGGCATCGATGGAAGCAATGGTGGGAAGGGAAGACTTCTTACTATCAGTATCAGTGCCAGGATCAGGGGTTCGGCTATGATGATGGGGCGGTTGTGATGGGGTCTGTTCGTGTGCGGGAAAGGGATGTGGAGATGGGAAGGTTGTCTGATGATGAGGGTGAGGGTGTGTTTGCTGTGGCGGATGCTCCTCTTCCTGTTACTATGCAGGCGGAGATACATGGTTTCAGACAGGCGTTGGAGTATGTGGGAGAATTGGTGAGGGAAAGTGCACCGCCGCGGGCTAAGGTGGCAGTGGATCAGGAAGTGGGTGGTTATGATGTGGATGTGGGTGTGAATGGGAAGGGTGGAAGTGGAGAGGAGTCGGATACGGAGGCATCGTCAACGGTCGGGTTGGCGACGGTTACTTTGTCGACGGGGACGAGTAGCTTGAAGAGTGTGGATTGTAAGTCGTTGTCGGGGACAATAGATACCCTGGATAGTATGGGGTCGCCGCCGCCCAGCTATCATTCATGAGGGACTATGGTTTCATGTGTAATAATACTAATCGTGGAGCATGGGAGTTCAGGATATGGTTATGGATCATGGCAAAAGGGTGGTTTTGGTATTTCATAATGTTTAATATTACAATGAAATGGTGGGTGAACGGCATGCATATAGAAACATTAGACGCATCGCTCACACCTTTGTCCGCTTGGCTGCTTCTTCGTTCTCGGCTTCATCTTCTTCATCTTCCACCGTGAGCTTCCGCTTTACCCGCTGATCTCTGCTGCTTGCCTCGCCCAGGACAGCGGTTGACTCTGGGGTAGCAAGCACACCAGACTCCTCTTCTTTGGCCTTCAGTGCTTCCTCGCGGGCGTTGAAGGCCTTGAGAAGAGCATCATAGCCCTCCTCGACGTTCGTCACGGTCTCCTCCAGCTTCTCGACGCGTTCGCTCGAGTCCAGTTGGATGAGTAGATCCCGATGGCGCTTGTAGAGACGTTGCTTAGTGAGCATGCGCCACCAGTAGTATCGGCGGTCGTTGGGATCCTCGGCATTGTGCTTCTTGATTAGTAGTCGGGACATATTGGCTCCCCCGGCTAGACGATTCTTGGCAGGTATTTGCCCCAGAAGATACATCTCCATGATATGAGCAAATTGAGTGGACGCAATCTTGAATTTTGAACGGATGTCATGCAACAACTTCGCAGGGATCAGTGCCGACGTTGGGACGCGCCGAGGGCGCTGCTTCTTGGGGAGCTCTCCATAAGGGTTAGGATTGATGTCTACCTTGTGCCCGAGGAACTCCGGCAACAAGATGTGATAGTCGGCAGTGTCGCGGAGGGCATCGAAAGCCTCGTTTGGGTCTTCGACAGTCAACTCCGTGATTGTTGGGTCCTTGAAGCATGCGGCGTGAATGGTGGTGTAGAGATGAGTCCCATGTCCCGAGCCTTGGTGAGGAGGCAGAACCAAGAATTGAGCGATTCGCAGCCGAGCCGGCAGCTGAGCAGGTCTGATCTCGGGTGCTGGGAATGGATCGTTCACGACGGTGCGATCCTGTGTAGTGTCTCGCTGGTAAAACCACCAGCGATAAGTGGTCGCATATCCGACAATGGAATACTGGGAGGCTGTTGGCGTGGGCGGTTTCACTTTCTCATAGCTTCAACTTCGTTAGCTAGGGGGAAACATAGGACGGGATGATAGCATACACAAAGTAGACTGTCCATCTCTCAAGTGTCCATTCAGGATCATCCGTGACCAAGGGTGTACCGGCTTCGATGAACAGCGATACAAAAATTTGCGCGCGGTCCAGTAGTCGTCGAACTTGAGGATCAGCGAGAGAGCCGGCCCAAATTTCGTAATTTCTGTCTCGAGTGACATAGCTGTGAACAAGCTTGCCAGGTGGTACGAAGTCCTTTGCATCTTCGTCCTCCTGGACAGCCTTTTCATAGTCGGGAAGTAAACCGAAGGCCTCTGCAATTATGCGCCCGAGTTAGTTAAAGTGGCACACAGATCACCCTTATCTGAAATAGACAGCGGCCAACCTTCAGGAACCCATGGTTTCAATGTTTTCAGCAGGTCGACAGCGGCAATATCGCCAACGGGCTTGAACTTCTCATCGTAAGAGATATTGATATTCGGGCAAAGGTCATGGGCTGCAAACCGCAAGCGGATGATCAACCCCTTGTAGCCGAATATTTGCTCCTCGTCGCCGAAGATGGGATATGTGAACTGAGGGTGAAAGCTGGAAATCGTTTTGACTTTCGTCTCGCCGGGTTGGACGATGGTCAGATGGACGGCGTCGTTGGCGTCGCAAGTCCCTAAATGAGGCCAATTCAGTCAGCCGACTCGCAACATGGAATATGAGGACAATGGAGTGCGAAAGGGTGATAATTACAGTCGCCTTCACTCATTGTGCCCGTTGCCGAATAGATAGCCAGCTACTATAGTGGAAATTTGGGTTCGAGATGATTGAGTGAGAGAGCGCAGGAGCTTTAATTGATTGCCTGGAAGATGGCGCGTGTTGCTCTTTCGAATCTCGCGTTGCGCGGAGCTAGCTAGCTATAACCGTTTTCGGTTTAGCGCCGGTAGGAATCCTCCGCAGTCTGTAAGTCAAGAAATAGTGTGTAGAAGAGAGGATACACATGAAAGAGCTCTGCATGTATTTTTGACTTTCCAAAAAGATCTTACCAAGGGTGTGTCGAGACACTTTATTTTCACCATCAGAATCATCTGCACAGTAGTTGTGCCGGCCTCCTGTGAATGGCTGCGACAGAGTACCTTCAAACTGGCAACCTCATATGACGTCGACGTAGAGACTAACCTACTAACCTCGCATACATGTATCTCCAAGAACTAATTGAAATTGGATTCATTTGAGCACGAAGTCAAGACTCTGTACTCTAAGATGTAGAGTATCGGTGGTCCGAAAATCAGGTGCGGTGCCTCGGCTCCAGGTCCCCGACCCAATACTAGACGACTCATTGATTTGCTAGTAGTAGTAGTAGTTCTTAAGAACTACAATGGCGGGGCAAGTTATCTCTGGCACCCCGCAATTGAGGGCCACTGCTGCTCCGTTAAAGATAAACCCCAGACTGTCATACAACTTGCCCAGTTGATACCATTAGCTCTCTACACAACCATCTAAACGCAAATCCACGGCTCCAACAAGGTCATTCATATCCTTGGCACTACCAACATGTCAGTGTACAGCTCACAGCGGATAGCCTTGATCGGTCTGGGAACCATCGGCATATCCATGGCAGCGCTTCATCTCTTCCGTGAGAGCAACATAGTTGATGTCTTCGATACCAGACCGGATTTCGAGGAATATATCCATAAGACGCTACCGATCTACATGAGCGAGCTGCCATCAACAAATACCGACTCTAGGTCAAGTCCTGAATCTCAACCATCAACGTCATTGCTCGCGTCTCTTGTATCTTCTGGCCGTCTGCGAATTCACTCGACCTTAGAAAGCGCATGCGCGTCGGCGACCATTGTCCAGGAGCAAGGACCGGAACATGTTGACTGGAAACAAACTACCTGGGCCCGGATCGAAGCAGTAGCCCCGTCTTCTGCGCATTTCTGGACAAGTACTTCTGGAATTGCTGCTTCTATCCAGCAAGCCAAGATGCAGGACAAATCTCGCTTGCTTGTTGTGCATCCGTTCAACCCGCCGAATATAATGCCTCTTCTCGAAATCGTACCGGCACCAGAAACTTCCGCTGAGCGGGTGGAATTTGCTCGTGAATACTTCTCTCTACCTGGGTCGAGACATAGGCCCGTGGTCATTCGAAAAGAGATTCCAGGGTTTGTGGGCAATCGGTTAGCCTTCGCCCTACTACGGGAAGCTTGCTATCTGGTTCAGGAAGATGTCGTAGATGCAAAGGACCTGGACACGATACTGATGGCTAGTTTGGGACCAAGATGGGCTGGAAACGGTGTATTTGAGAGCTATCAGTATGGCGGGGGAGAAGGTGGCATAGGTTCTTTCTTGAACAAGCTTGGTAGCACTATGCAAACCATCTGGGATGGGCAGGGGAGAATCAACGTGGAGGGCGACGCAAGAACGGAGTGGAAGGAAAAGGTCATTGCGCAAGTGAACGAAGCCTATGGAACGGTGTCTGCGGAACAAATCCAGATAAAGGAAGCACGACTGAAGGATATCATTGGGATCCAACTGAAGGATTACAGCCGCCATGGACCAGAAGTATGAGGAGAACAGTCATTATAACCCTTCCGGAAGTGATGCCCGCGGAAGCTTGGATATTGCGGCCTGTAAAAACTCCCAGACGGCTGGCTGATTACAATTGTTCACCGATTTTTGAGAGCCGTCAGGATGTACATCATCGGTGTATTGAGCATATCCACAATATTTTTTCATGTTTTTGCTTCATACATCGAATGTAGAAGAAGAAGATGAAGCCGAAGAGATAATAATAAACCATCCCTGGGGCGGCAGTGGGTCTCCCGTGCCTCCGACTGGGGCGTGCCTTTCCCACTGCGGCAAATCGCAATCAATCCATAATCAGGGCCGTCCACCTCCGCCACGTTTTCAGTTCTTCTGCCTCCTACCGCCTTGGAACACCTGCTTTCCGCCCGCTCTCCATCGTCTCCCCTGTCTCACTTGCTTCTCCGGGCCTATTTTCGTCCTCCAGCTCGCTTGTTCGCTTTTCTATTTAGACGCCATCACCGCTGCCGCGGGATCAGGGGTATATCGAGAATCTTGGTCTTGGAATTGGCAACATGAGTGAAACCTTCTAGAGCACGGACGAAGCTCTGGAACAAGAGGCCGATCATGGAGGGACTCTTCACTTTGCTCGCATTGAGCATTGTGATGGCCATTACGTGAGTCGACTACCCCTTGGAACTTGTCGCCTGCTCGGTGCGAACTGTCAATGCTAATTTGCTTTTCCCCGGTGCGTCACATAGATCATTTGTCGTGGGATCACTACCGCTCGCCTTCACACTTTCTCCTTCTCAGCTGAGATTGATATCCTCCCTTGGTATGGGAGTTCTGGTTGGGACATCTTTGATCGTTATTATTCCGGAGGGAGTCGAAACCCTATACAGCGCAAACTCCCTTAGCAGTCGAAAAGAACTTAGCAGCCGATCGACGACAGCCGTCACTTGGCAACACCAGGCTGTACCTGTGACCAATTTCCCGAGGACATTGGAAGAACCAGATTCCTCGGATGTCAAATTTACGCCTCGATCGGTGCTATCCGATCTGCCATCCGCACCTGTCACGGTACCTACAACCCATTCTACACTAGATCAAAGGCCCAGAATTATGGGACGCAAGGACGAACCATCGGACGATCACACAGGCGAGGATCACGATGAAGATAACTCGCCCCACGCTTGGATAGGAATTGCACTCATTAGTGGCTTTATACTGATGTACCTCATCGACAAACTGCCCGTTTTCGCGTCATCCTCCAAACAGGAGCGAATTCCCTATCACATTTCTCTGGATAATCTGGGTTCCGGCCTGCGGCGTAATTCGTCGCCGTCACGCGAGGGGGGTTTGCTTGATGCCGGTAATATCCCCAGGAGAAGCCACAGCTTTGCAACGACAACTGGACTTGTGATTCATGCTGCCGCTGATGGAATTGCTTTGGGTGCATCTAGCTCTGACACTGGGCTGAGCTTCATCATCTTCCTGGCCATCATGGTTCACAAAGCCCCCGCATCGTTTGGCCTCACCTCAGTGCTACTGAAGCAGGGCCTTTCCAGTCGTACCGCTAGAGCGCATTTATTGATTTTCAGTTTGGCTGCTCCTGTAGGTGCTCTCATGACATTTTTGTTTGTGCAGATCATGGGCTCGGGGTCAGGAGGTGATGACGTTGGGAACCGCTGGCGAACCGGAGTTCTTCTCTTGTTCTCTGCTGGCACATTCCTGTAAGTTCTTTCATACCTAACTTCTACGGTACATGGTGATACTGATGTTTCTAGATACGTTGCTATGCACAC